AGAGGGGCCGACCAAGGGCAAGGTGGATGGATGGCATCCTTGAAGTGACTGGACTGACCTTGAAGGAGCTGGGGGTGGTGACGGCCAACAGGGAGCTCTGGCGTAGGCTGGTCCATGAGGTCACAAAGAGTCGGAGACGACTGAACAAATGAACAACAAAATCTCTATATGATTTTGCCATTTTGTATGAAGAAGTATTAAATATATATGTGTGTGTGTATATACACACACACACATACACATATATATATATTACTAATTATATAATATACTGTGAATGTATTATATATGTAATGGGATAATAATATTATACAATACAATAAATATATATAATATAATAATTTTATATTATATAGAACATTTAATATTATTAATAATATAGCAATATAGTGGTCTAGTACAATATAATAATATCAAACACTAATATTGTGCTATGCTAATTATATATATATATAATTACAGCTAGTATATATATATATATATATATATATATATATATATATATATATATACTAGCTGTCCCCTGCCATATATATCTAATTCCTATCTATATATCTAATTCCTTTGTGCTGGTGAGTAAACAGTATTTCTTGTTGTTTCTTTGTCAGTGTTGATGTGGAGAGTGTCTGGCTTGCCTACTCTGCAATTTGCAACACATCATAGTCCTTCTTTAAGGGTCTCTTTCAAATCTATGATACTATATCTGTGTGTGAGAGAGAGAATCATATCTATCTATATTTCTGACTGGATGGCTCTTTGTCAGGAGGGCTCTGATTACATTTTCTTGCCCTGGTGAAAAGAGTTGGACTGGGTGGCCTTAAGTATTTTCTGTTGGTCATGGGGGTTCTTTGTGGGAAGTTTGCCCCATTTCTGTCGTTTGTGGGTTTCAGAATGCTCTTTAATTGTAGTGAATTATAAATCCCAGTAACTATAAATTCCAAATGTCAAGGTCTATTTCCTCCAAACTCCACCTGTGTTCATATTTAGGCATATGGAATTTTTGTGTCAAGTTTGGTCCAGATCCATCATTGTTTGAGTCCACAGATGTAGGTGAATTACAACTCCCAAACTCAAGGTCAATGCCCACCAAACCCTTCCAGTGTGTTCTGCTGGTCATGGAAGTCCTGTATGCCATGTTTGGTTCAATTCCATCATTGGTGGAGTTGTAGGTAAACTATAAATCCCAGCAAATCCCAAATGTCAAGGTTTATTTCCTCCAAACTCCATCTGTGTTCATATTTGGGCATATGGAATATTTG